CCCTCTGATCATGAGGAAGACGTGGATTGGCAACAACAATTCTATAATCAACAACAATATTATTTACAAAGAGAAAAAGAAGTGGCAGACATTATTACTAATAATAGAATTAAGGAAGAAAGAGAGAAGAAGGAGAAGGAAAAAGAAGTGGTAAAAGTTGTGAAAAAGAGTAAAGGCAAGAAGGTTATTAAGAAAATTATTAAAGAAGATGATGGAGGAGATTATTCAAGTTCTTCAAGTTCTTCAGATGATGATTCAACTAGTAATGGAGATGTTAGTAGTGAAGAAAGGAATGAGGAGGCTAGAAGTCATATTAAACCACATAGAATTGATAATACTGATTCAAGTATTAGATTTGAAGTTGGAAGGAATGTTAAGAAGTTTATCATTAATTATCATAGTCAAGCTGAAGCAAATGGCGCCTCAGAACTTGATATGGTTAGACAAGTTACTAGCTTTGTTGTTGGAGAAGAATTGAAGGAGGAAATACGTGAAATGGATGGTTGGGGTACTGGTGAATGGAGTTGGAAGAAAGTTAAGGAACAATTAATTGAAAGGTATCAAACTACCACGGAGCAACCAAGATATTCAATTGATCATTTAAGAACTTTGTCAGAAAGAACTGCTAGGACTGGTGGTGTTACAAATAAAGCTGAATATCAAACATTTAGAATTAATTTCGACAAAATTCATCAATATTTAACAAGACATGATTATATTGATTCAAATGATGAAGAAGTTGCACGCCATTTCTATGATGCTTTCTCTGATGAACTTCAAAAGAAATTCAAGAAAAGAATGATTAGAAAGAAGTTAATGAAGAAGGTGGATAGTGGAAGATATAGGTTACCTAATTTAAATAAATTAAAGAAGGTTGTGGATCATTATATTGAAGAAGAAGCTTTATTAATCTTTGAGGATATTGGAGAAGAGAAGTTTGCAATTAAGAATGAAATTGCTGGTGTTAGAAGTGAAGTAATTCAAAAGGATACTAGTAATAAAGTTGCTAAAATAGGAGGAATGCAAGCAAAAGCCACGCAGCAAATGGAGGTTTTATGTAGTGACTTGGGAAATTTACATATAAATCACGTGCAGGCTCCATTATTATTACCACCTGTAAATGCATTGCATCCTTATCTTCCTGTTTCAAATTCTTTACAAACTCAAATCCATCAACAAGCTGAACCTTTTAGAGCTCAACATCAACAAAATCCGTCAAATTATCAAAGAGTTAATCAACCTTATAATAATAATAACAATTTTAATAATCAGCCGCGTAATTTTCCAGCTCAGAATTATAAAGGACAACAGCCCAATTACAGCAGGCCTTATAATAATAATAATGTTAATAGACCTTATAATCCTCAAAATCCAAATACAAATAATCAAAATACTTATCAACCTCCACCACCTCCAAATGGAAATCAAGGAAGTACTGTCTTTTGAGTGTATTGTAATACTGAAGGACATACTGTAGGAAGATGTAGATGGGTAATTCAAGATAAGCAAGCTGGATTATTGCAAGATAGGATGGATGGTTTCTTCTTACCTTCAGGAAATGTAAGGATGTTTAAGCAAGGAGAAGATGGAATCAGGCAGCAAGTTATTAGATATTCTGAACAGCAAGCCAATGATGCTACACGTCAAAATATACAACAACAGCGTGTAACAACTCCTGCTGTACATGTTAATACACCTGTAGTACCACCTGTAACTCCTACAGCTATTATTACTAAAAATGACGGGAAAGATAAAATTCAAGAGCTTAAAACAAGTTGTGGTATTCTTGAAGGGAATTGGAGGATGCCTGAAATATTAAGAAGTAATGGGAATGAATTATTGGGAGGAGGTGGAACTAAAATATATGATATTACAGCAAATACACGTAGTGGAAAGACTGTAACTCAAGCT